GATATTAACAGATACCCTTTATTTATCTTATATTTATCTTATATGATATACCGATACCTATCCTTTATGTTGCCATATATCCGCCAAAAAACAGTAGAAAATCAGATTAAAAATGGATACATAAAGGATAGATATCGGGATGGTAAAGGGATACCGATATGCATTTTTTATGTATTTATTGAACCTGTGAAACCGTAAAAACTTTAGTTAGCAAAGTATTTTCTTGAAGTAAAGAACAATTGACAAACTTAATAAAAAATGATAGTGTTGCTATATCTATGACAATAACTTTTGGACAAGCTGTTGTCACCAGGAATATATTGGAATCATATGTGACTGGATTTCCGAATTCTAGGAGCCTAAAAATGCACTTTTTGTTTTACAACATATTCTATACCCTCATATGGGTGAAGTTATTGCAGAATTATTAGATTGTATTTTGAATAACTAACAAGATAATAGCAGTAACTACAGACAATAGGTCAAATATAAAAAAGGCATCCCAGTTATTAGAATTTAATAGAATTTCTTGCATGCTCATGTGCTTCAATTGTTTATTGAAAAAGGATTAAATATAGTTAAACCTTTAGTTTTATGAGTAAAAAGATTAATTGATTTCTTTAATAATTCACTAAAGCAAACTGAATATCTTCTTACTGCACAAAAAGATCTTGGGTTTAAAAAACCTTTATCAACAATTGGAGACATTTTCACCTAATGGAATTCATCTTTTTATATCTAGAAAAGATTACTTTACTTAAAAAGAGCATTAATATATCTTTCATTATGGCTTCAATTAGATAAAAGTGCATTTGCTCAAAAAGATAGTGAATGATTGGCACATATTATACTTACCAATGATGAATAAATATTTTAGATAAGTTAAATGATGTCTTGTACAGTTTTGAAGAAATAACAACATTATTAAGTGGAACTACTTATGTTACTTTTTCTTTAATATATTTGGCAATTTCATTATTGATTAAAACTTTAAAATCATTATTTTAACAAACTTATTTTGAATCAACTTCAATAAATATAAATGAATTAACAATTCTTGATTCTATGGATAAAATTATAGAAGATACAAAGTAGAGATGCTGATCGATCAAAATTTTTTTGATTTTCATAGGATCAATCGCGAATGATCGATTATGCTCAGTCATATTTTTTCATATCTTTAGAATAGGGTGGTGTTCTGAATTAAATTTAATAATTAATGCATTTGATTTTTCTTACAATAGAACGTATTGATAAAATATTTAGTGAACAATAAGATTAAGTAATTAATTATTGTGTGATCGATCATCATCTCTAATACAAAAGATGCCATTGAAATTAAAGAAGTTAATTCGGTATTAGGTATTGTGTATAAAAAATTGATATTTCAATTCCAATAATTATATTTGAAATGCTTAAGAAGGTTAAAAAAACACTCTTTGATAGTATGTATTAGTATTGGAATTCTGTTACTAATATTTGAATATTAGCATACTTGCTTAATCTATAGTTTAAAAAGTTATGCTTTGCAAATCCTGATGTAATTCTAAAGACTAATAAACAACTAAAAAATTATATAGATTGGAATGTGAGGCTTATACAGCACCTAAAGATTTGGTATCTTTGTCTAATATCCAAAATGATAATTTAAAAACTAGTAAAGTTCCAAGAAAACAAAATCAATTTTATTAAATTTATATGCCGATGATGATAATAAAATTAGCAAAGTTGATTAATACTTAGCTTTGGAAGAGGAGGGAAAACAAACAAATCCATTTCAATAGTGGAGGCTTAAAAAAAACCAGTTTTCTATATTATTAAAATTGCACAAAAATATTTGTGCATATTAGCAATTTTAGTCTTATCTAAACAGTTGTTTTTAGATATTGAAAACAACATTATGGCAAAACACACAAACCTTGATCCAGAACTGGTAAGTAAAATGCTATTTTTAAAGAAAAATATGAATTTATTTGATACAATATTTCTAGCTTATGAATAAATAATATTTTATATATTGTATTTGCTTTGCAATTTAATTAAAAATTTGCATTTATAAATAGATAATATATATATTTGCTTTACAACTTGTAATCGAAAATTTGTATTTATAAATAAATAATATACATATTTGCATTAAAATATATTTATAATAATAATTAATTAATAGGAACTCTTCCCAACAATCACTTGGACCAATTTCTTCACCAAAGAAAAACAGTTTTGTTGGAGCATTGCCTGCACCCAAAGTGCAGTAGGATAATATAAAGTACAGTTTTTGTAGAAATCAATCTTGGTTAGTTAGAGACTTTTCTACATATTTAATATGCAAGCCGAAAGTGTCATTATACAAGATAACTAGCAAGAGAAGGCACTCTTGTATATAGAATTTTGGTGAAATAACAAAGTTCTTCTGTTGATGAAGTTATTTATAGCAAAACAGTGAGAAACAACAAAACAAGTTTTTTTCAACACTTTCTTTTAAAAATTTTGAAGAACTCACAACCAAAAACCCTCTCTTTATATTCTCACTTGGTTTGGATTTTTTAAAAAATTTTTGCTAAACAAAAAGTAAAAAAACCAGTGTACTTCTCCAAAAGATCTGCATTGTTTTACCGATTTCAAATCAAGAAACAGAAGTTATAAGAAACGTGGAAGGGCCAATAAATGACAGTCAGACTCAACGCACAGAGCAGACCTTGGCATCTTGCATAGCCGTGAGAACTGGGCATACGGCGAGTGATTTGTAAAAGATCTACTATTCTTCTCAATTATCAATTCATCACACTCTATTGAAAAGATATACTTAAACAAATTTCTTCACAACACAATTTAATAATTTTAACTTTATTTCAAACTTTATTCTTTTACTCT